GGCACCGTTGGGTTATACGAATGCTTCAAGGCCTTCCTTCTACTAAACAACCCGCTTCCATTGCCGAGATACAAGGCGCTCATATTATAAGGTAAGGTTATAAAAACCATCTTTTAAGATCATTTTAGTGAAAGTTTCATCCTTCAAGGCGTACCATTCACTGCTCAAATACTAAACAACCTGCTTCCATTGCCGAGATACAGGGCGCTCATATTATAAGGTAAGGTTATAAAACCACCTTTTAAGATCATTTTAGTGAAAGTTTCATGTTCCTATCTCATATAATTTAAGAACAATGATGAATAAATCATTTTCGAGCAAAATTTAAATGGACGGCTGAATATATTACCGCCGGAGAGACGGCCGCGGAATTTAAATGAACGCGCGAAAGGGTTAATTATAAAGAAGTAATGACAAGAGAGTGCGCACTTTTGTTTGCTCTCACAGGTGCTTGTTGTTTCCAGAATAACTTCATTCAATTTGTTCTAACACTGATATGTTGTCTTCTGTTACAGGTCAGATGAGTGTAGCACAGCCCTTTACATGGGGGGATGAAATTTCTTTACTGGATCCTGATCCAGAGCTACCCGACCTGAAATTGCCATCAATAGAGAAATGGATAGGCGAGACCAGTGCTGAAAAATTGACAGCAGCAAGCTCACTGGAGAAGCCAGTGTTTGAAGAGACAGAAATTGATAAATCAAATTTATATGGGAATGAGACTCAAGAGTCCAGCATTGGATGCTATGGAAGTTGTTAATGACAATTATGATGATGATGATGATGATGGTGATGAAGACAATGATGATGGCAGTAGTGTTGTGGAGGAGAACCAATCTGATTATTCCAGTATCAGGAGTGGGAAGATTCAAGGTAAGAGTCTACAGAAAATAGGGAAGACTGCCACAAGCAGGGACGTGATCAAAGTAGGGCAGGAGCATAACCCTTGTAGGAAGTTAATGCTTCATAAATCAGAGGGCATTTTGTTAGTAGGCAGACCTGTTGTCAGGTGGCTTGATTCAGTTGAAGAAGCTTTGGAGGCAGTGGGCATTAGAAATTTGAGATGAAAGACACAGGATCACAGCTAGTGGAAAGCAGTCATAAAAGAATCCAAGGTTTATCCATGGACTGTAGCACCTGTGGAAGAAGTCATAAGCAAGACAAAAAAAGTCATTGACCTGCTCACCTGGAATAAATTAATATTGTGAGATGGAAGCCAGGCATTCATTGTAGTTGTTTATGGTAACTGACTTTCAGTTTTTCTAACTTCCAGAAATTAATATTTTTATGTTCAAAGCACCTTTCTGACTACCTTCTCAGCTTCAAAGTGGCCAGATTAAATGTGACTTAATTGTGCGTATCAAACACGTTACATAACTTGTAAAGAATTAAGTTAACATATTTTATTGTTGTTTGTGTTTTTATATGGAGAAAGAATGTCAGGCATCTGCAAGTAGCAACATAAAATATATAATTTTCCCATCAGAAGTTTTGAGCTCATAATAAACTACATAACAAATTTGAAAAAAGAAATATAAATCCATGTTAAACAAAAAGCTCAGCACCCAAGCACAAAGTGACACACCTGATGGTGATCCAGTAAGGGTTGAAACATGTCATGTTAACATTTTAATGTAAACAACCTATGTTAGTATTTTTATGTGATTTGTCATGTCGAGGGATATAAATATACTAATTTTGAATGACATACAACAGGACGCAACACATAAAAATTAATTTGTGAATTTTGAAACCAAAGAGCAATCGCGGTGGGTGCACATACATTCACCAAACAATCTAAAAAAGTTTAAACAAATGTCTGCCACGAAGCTGATGGCAGCTGTTTTCTGGGACAGGAAAAGAGTGCTGATGATGGAAGTCATGCAACAAGGGACCACAGTAACATCAGAAGTGTATTGCAAAATGCTAAAGAAACTGCATAGGGATGGCTATTCAGAAAAAAAAGGTGCAGAATGCTGACATACAGTGTGGTGCTTGCCCATGACAGTGCATGTCTGCATACAGCTGCTCACACTTGAGCACTGCTGGAGCATTTCAGCTGGGAGTTGATTATCATCCTAACAGCACTGATCTCACTCTGAGCAACTACCACCTATTTATCTACCTGAAAAATTGGTTGGAATCAGCACTTCAACAATAATGAGGATTTGATGGAAGATGTCAAAATGTGGCTTAGCTCGCAGGCGGCAGACTTCTTTGACACAGGCATACAAGAACTTATTCCCTGATATGGGAAGTTGCCTCAATTCCAGCAGTGACTGCATTGACAAGTAGCTTAAGTATGTACATATTTTCTTATGCATAATAACTTTTTTTTAATGGCTGACTGGAAGTTACTTTCCACATAGCCCTCATATGTTCTGTGGACCTAAAACCTTGAATTTGTAAAAAGTCAAAGCATGGTTAAGTCAGTACATTTCAAAACTGGAACTTAGAAACATGTAAAGTACAAATACAGTTGGTACAAAACAATACACTTAAGACAGAATTTAGAAACAGCCCTGGGTACAATATGTTTAAGGATGAAACTTTGTATTATGGTCTCACTATTCTGTATACAGCAAGGTTGTGATTAATGCAATATTTCATTTAGTATGAATTGTACAATGATACCAGGTCTTGTTTAATGTGAACCAGAATTCAGATAATGTGAGGCTAGCACATGCGCAGTTGATATTACCGTTAGGGTTTTAGATGCTGCAGGTGGTAGTGATTTTGAAAAAGAAACTGTTATAGAAGAAATAAGAAATATCGGAAGAGAACTTGGATTTGATGGCCTATGAAATGACGATGTTCAGGAACTGTTCAGTTCGCACTTGGAAAAATTGACTGATGAACTTTTACATTTAGATCAACACAGAGCGTTCGAAGAAGCAAACAAAGATGTCAAAGAATGAGATAATGTGCAATTGAAGGAATTTACTCTCAAGGAATTTTAAGATTTCTTTAGAGCTGTAGAAGTCATGAAGCAAAGAATTACAGCTGCTGGCCCTAACCTCAATTGAAGCATGCGAATTCATTGAGATGTGGATAAAGTGCTCTGTGTCTAACAGCATATGTATGAAGATTTAAAGAAAGAGAAAACAGTTCAGTCCATGTTGCTAAAACATTTTGAAAGGCAATAATGATGTTTTCATGATTTTAAGCTTACCTTTAGGAAAAATATTTAGAATTTCTTTGTTTTTATTTTGCTCTCTGTAACTACTGTATGACTTGTTAATAATAAATTAAAAATATAAGTATATTATTTTTATCCTTTATTATATCATTAATAAACATGTAAAAACTTACATTTACATTTTATTTTGTTGTCGTTTCAGATAATGAAGATATAGGCCCACAGAGTCCCACAAGAGGTACAACTCCGAAACATCCATTAGTGGCCGCCATAACACCTCAACTTTCATCTCAGAGCGATGATGTCAGAGATGAAGAAGGAAGTCTCATTATGTCATCTCCATCACCAGTAGCTTCCCAGGGTTGTTCTGTGCCTTTTCAAGTGTGTGATGTTGGATCATTCACAGATGCTGCTGTTCCTCTTGTGTACTGTTCTAGACATCTGGCTGCTTCTTTCCTACTGACAGGATGTGCTGGCTTCACAATCACTGACAGTAATGTCAGGGTCAGTGTGAAGGCACTTGCTCTCAGCTGCATAGCCAACATTCTCCGTCTTTCCCCCAGTATTATATTTCTCAGCGTAGACAAGAATAAGGAACCCACTGGAATACAAGATGGTAATAAAATACATACTTCAGTCCATTAAAGTTGGTGGGCTTAACACATTGAAGACTGGTAATTTGGTTGCCCAGTGCATCTGTTGTTTCTAGCCACTTTCTAAGATGAAACAGTATTTTTCAAAAGCATTCATGACTATTTGACTAATCCTCATACTTAGATGATTTGAAGACTGGAGTATATAGGAATGTTCAGCAAGCATTCATTGCTATTTATATTTACAGTACTCGTATTGATGTCAGTGTGTCATCACTCTTACTAAAATATAATCTTTATCTGACACTGTGTTCGCACAGACAGACGATCTGTTATTACATCTGCCATAGATGATCTTTCATTACTAACCAAAACATTTATACTATTATTATAGGCATATCACTGTAGTCATGAAAGATAGATCCTGGGGTAATTGCATGTAGGAGATAATTCATGAAGAAGGTTACCATCTCAATAAATATATGTATGTACCACTAATTCAGTAGCATGATGCTGGGAACCAGATCTTAGCTTGGGATTATTGACTAGTAATAGAACTGAAAGAAAGTGGGTGTCCTTGGAACTGTGCCTGCTAAAATGTTCTGCTGAAAAGTATATTCATTGCTGAATTTGTGTATTTATGAATATGTACGCATTTTACTTTTCTCTTCAGCCACTGTTCTCATGTTACCTGATCCAAGCAGGTGTGTCACCATGACTCCATTGTAGTATGTTATTGTCGATGCTTCCCAGCATCCATTTACAATTTTGTCTCACAGTTCCTCAACAGTTTGTAGCTCCTTTGTGCAAAGATGAGAGAAAATTTTCAATGTGAAATTTGTAGCTTACACTTTCTGCTTTCCTTGTGAGACTTTTTATTATTTCATATTTAGCTACCATCAGGACTCTTGCATTTTGTCTGTCCTTTACCACTTATACAGTCATGTTGTTAGCATAGCTGTTCCTGTCCCAAGTCTATCCCCCATCACTCCCTCTCCTCAAATACAAACATATGAGAAAACATTTCTTTCGCTTAACTTTTTGACTCGTATAATGAGAGTAGCAGATATTTTTGTCTTAATGCTATCTCATTCAGGTGATACTATCACAGAGTTAACAGGTCACAGCAGGAATGCACAGTGGACGTATGTATAAAGCAGTAGAGAAAATTAATTAGTGTCATAGCTGCTTTATGCTGGTTCCAAATAAAAGGGTAAAGCCACACTATATTCTTACATGCAGGCAACTGGATTTGCAAGTGTGCCATCATAATGGTGCAATGCATAACCCAGAAATGTTAATGAATTATTCATTTCTCTGCCCACAACTTTTGCACTGTTAATTAACATTATTCACATTTTGTGCCCTTGGTGGAGGGGGATGATAGTGGTTGCACAGAAAATACAAAATAAGATACTGTATTAATGTCAAAACTATACTACGGACCTCCAAGCAGTTTATTACATGTATACAAGTCTAGAATATACCATTATATCCACGGGAATATAACAAAATTGCAACAACTGACTTGATGATATGGAATATCACATGAAGAGTTTTTAACCTTATTTTACGCCATACCTTTCGTTTTTATAATAAGTTTATAGTTCATTCTGTTTTTATACAATGTATTAATTATCAAGTATCCAGCTTTACTATCAGAGTTGCAGTTCAGTAGTGTGTGTATGGTAATCATGTGTTTGCTTGATGATGGCTTTATGAGCTGAAACATGTAGCTAAGCTAATTTTAGCCTTGACCATTGTATTGCTGTGTTGCGATGGACTCTAATAAAGAATTGTATATAAATAACACAACAGGATGCACGAAATGAAAATTGTACTATAACCCTCAAGACAGAAAATGTTGAAATTAAGAATGTATGGCATGTAGGACAGATCAATTATGAAACAGAGTATCTTCTGCTGACAATAATTCAAACAAAAATATAAGCATAATGCATATTATTATGTAGTATTTTGCTGGTAGGCTAAAGGCAGAGACTTGGGCAGGATGCAGTAATGCACTTGTAATGATTTTTAAGGACTGCCGTAACTTGAATGTTTAAACAGTTTACATGTAGAGAACTTTACCTCCCCTTCTCCCCTGCTTTTTTCATGCTTTCTGCTGAACACACACTGTCTTGTCATTTAAGATTCCTTTTCTGTGGGAGGGACCCTTCAAGTAAAATACTGTTCTTTAATCTCTTCATTGCTGTCTTCAGGGAGGCACACAGTAGCGTAGTGGTTGAGGAGCTATGCTACAAGCTGGAAGGTCGTGGGTTCAAGTCCAGATGAGGTCATTGGATTTTTTTCAGTTGACCTAATCCTTCCAGCCGCACTAGGCCCTGGGGTCAACTCAGCCTCTAACAGAAATGAGTACCAGGAATTAATTAAATAATTTTCCTGGATAGTAAAGCATGGTTGTCGCGTAAAGTTGACAACCTTACCGCCATCTTTGAGCCGATTGTCTAGAAGATGTGGGACCCTCAACGTCTCACAACCCAATGGACCTTCACGGCCTGGTACAGGGATAGCTTTACTTACTTTACATTGCTGTCTTCATCTTGTCCACCTGTCGCTTCACACTGCATGGAATATGTTACCAGAAACCCTTCAATCAAGTCTAGTCTGAATTTCAAATGGTCATCTTTCTGACCAAAATTTTTGCTACAGATGAGGGAATTGGGAGCTGTGGAGTTGAGTTGCCTTTCTGAACAATTTCATGTACCACTTCATCTTCTTTCCCTCCACTTCAAGCCATCCAGACGTATGAGTGAAAGACTGCGCTTATGACTGCAGCATAGCCATACTTACTACTGGACCCTATGGCTATGTATTGAAATTCCTACTCATATGACACCAGAATACTGTGAATCCCCGACATGTCTACAATATATTCACAAGGATGATGAACAGAGAAGCTATTTGCAGAATTACAGACAGCAAGCAGCGTTAAAAAGACCACACAAATCGCATTGTGAACCAGCTCCTGACAGAACACTGAACACTGCAGCTACCAAAAAAGTCAAATGAAATCAAGGAAGATGAATCAGTTTTTATGTCGATCTGTGTATTAGCTACAAATAGCTAACAGAATCACTTCAGTTGGCTGTCTAGAGCACACTTGTTCAGATTCCATAAAAATTATTTCCATGAAAGTTGGTGGTTTTTAGTGCATGACAGTGACAAAGGAGATAATTTGTTTTGCACATATTGGAAGACCATTTCTTTACCTACAAAAAGAAACACCAGATTGACTATGGTAGTTCTAAAACTCATCGTAATACACAGTAACAAATTTAATGCTCCATGGCTTATGCTAACCGTCTTACAGTGTATACACTTTTTCACCTTATTCTTCACTTCCACACTACATGTTTCAGCACTAATATGCCATCCTCAGGTGTCTTTATGCACGTTAAACTATTGTACTGCATGCCATGATGTCTTCATTCTAAAATGACTAAAATCTGTATTCGTCATATATGCCGATGAATTCTAAATAATAAAACTTTTCAGGATTCATCCTACGTCGCACTCAAACACGCGAATTACGCCAATCCTCTTTTATGTGAGCATTCTTCCTACATACATTTGTGTATATTTAACGTGCATAAAGACACCTGAGGATGGCACATTAGTGCTGAAACATGTAGTGTGGAAGTGAAGAATAAGGTGAAAAAGTGTATACACTGTAAGACGGTTAGCATAAACCATGGACATGAATCAGTGTAACAGGACGCTAAAATATGACAAATTTAATGCTGAATGCTGCAAGTAAACTTGTCATTTCAAGGCATGCAATATGGGAAGAACACAAAACATACTCAATACCGTTTATTAAAAAGTTATTTTTTTTATTGCTAGTGGGGTGGGACTAAGTCCCTTGTACTGTGGCCACTTCTGGCCTATTGTACCAGCCCCAGATGATAGGTGAGGGTGATTGTGGAGCAATTGTTGGAATGAAGATTGGCAGGGGAAACCAAAGTACTTGGAGAAAACCACCTATTAAAAGGTTAAGAAGACAATATCATTACTCAAACTCCAACATGTTCTGAGATTTGAATAAAGTGAGGGGAAGTTTATAGAGTGCACTACTTCATATGTACCTGAGTACTTCTAGAGGACTTTGTACTGGTAATTACATTCTTCAGCAAATTGGAAAATAGTACAAGCCAGGTGTGTTATATAATTTTGTCAGGTTAACTGTAATCTCTTACAGTGTTACACTTTAATTCTATTAATATGCAGTATAGTATATGTGTGATTTCAAACATGTGGCAGCGAATTAAGATTGCAAGAAACTTAAATGGTCAACATCTTTCGACTGCTAAGGTTTAACAGATACTGATGATATTTTTGTTCAGATTCATATTCATATTTTTTGTTTTTGGCAATCCATATATATATATATAATTGTGATTATATACCCATGTAATTAGTCATCTCTGTATTTTGTAATTTGTAAATAAAATCCATTTTGTCAAAATATATTTTAGTCTTCTCCATGTCACTAATTATTCCTTAAAGAATAAATCAATAGAATTTTAATTTCAACTTTCAACTTC